AGGATGGGACTTCCGTGCCATGCACTGCAGCATGACTTATTTCCTGCCAGATACTACAGTAAGGAACCACCATCCCTGCCTGCCTAGATCTACTCTCTACATTTCCTCTTCCCACTCTGGAACTTCCAATCAACTGTTAACAGGCTTCTCCAAATCACTGGATGGTGCTACCGGGGAACGTTAAATCTATGATTTAAAAAAGCCATATCCTCAAATCTTGTGACAGTATCTGAGTATGCAGGTGCTGTTTCTCATGGCATGTGCAACATGTAACCCTGTTCTCCACATCTGGAAACTAAACGGTTCTCTAGCTAAGAGGAAGACAGGAGAGAGATTATGGTGCTACCAGGGAACGTTAAATCTATGATTTAAAAAAGCCATATCCTCAAATCTTGTGACAGTATCTGAGTATGCAGGTGCTGTTTCTCATGGCATGTGCAACATGTAACCCTGTTCTTCACATCTGGAAACTAAACGGTTCTCTAGCTAAGAGGAAGACAGGAGAGAGATTATTTTGTTTTCTCTGTCCTCTGCAAGCAGTAATTCCTTTTTGGCAGTTGCCCCTCAGCTTTGGAACAACTTACCTGCTGAGATCCGCCTGGCTCCCTCGCTGAGGGCCTTCAAGACTAACTTGAAGACATGGCTATACAGGTAGGCCTTCCCTACAGCCATTACCAAGCCTTTCTCCCATTTTCTTTCCTTCCTCCTTTCCCCCTCCTTTCTTTTTTCCTTTCCCATCTTGGATTAATCTGGATTTTATCTTAGTTTATTTTTATATTATATGCAAACCGCCCAGAGTAGACCTGTTCTAGATGGGCGGTATATAAATCCAATAAATAAATAAATATAAATAAAATATAAATCCAGGTTAGAAAAAGAGCAGGTGTCAAACTTTTAATTATTAAACCTCTGGAGAGATTATGAGAATGCTATCTGCCAGGTCTTTTAAGCTACATACAAACTTCTGGATGCTTTTCTGAAGCGCCCTCTATATACATAACTCTGGAGAAACACAAGAAGCTATTTAGGTGAGTGGAATTTCCAGAACATGTGCGGAAAACAGCATATGGCAACGAGCTGGTTATCCTAAAGAAGGCCGGTTTCATCATCTTTCAGAACAAGTTTCTAGGTCTCATGGTGACAAAAATATAAATGGTACATGAACAGAAGCTGATGATAATTCAGGAGATAAAGACTGTGGTTGGATAACCAGGCAGGACTTTTAAATACTTGAGGCTAGACTTCGCCTGTACAGCACACTGCTCCTAACAAGACACTATGCTAACAATCTCTCAGTATTCATGTCCCCACCCCGCTTCAGTTGCTACTCAAAATTTTTGGTAGACTATGACTAGAAACCAATCAAGTTAGGGTATTTGGAAATGTAATTTAATACTCGCCAATTTTAGCAAATTTTAATCCTGAGAAAAAGCCCCCCGTTTACTTTATATAAAACAGTTCTGGACTGGATTACATCCAAATAATAATGTTAGCTTTATGCTTTGCAACCATTACTGAACAACGCACGAACTCCGGGGATGCACCAAGCCTGGAAATGGCTGAGTGTGGTTGTTATTTTTCAAACCAAAAGAAACAAAAGTGTCCGAATACATGTTTTTAGTTTGAATTTTGAGGGTTTTGAGCACATGGGCTTGAGGAGGGTTTCTGCAGCACCTTCAGTGTGAAAATTGCCACTCCTGGAAGCCTCAAAGATTGGCAATATGTACTTTTCCACCAACTTTTAAAAATAAATACCCTGTGGGACCCAATCCGCTTCAAGCTTTACTTGAAGCCCGAAAGACTCTTCTGTCTTTGCAGGCAGCCGGAGGCTGAAGGGGAAGTGGCTGGGGTGAGGAGTGGGACACCTGTCAATTATCAGAAGTGCAACGCTCTGTTGGGGGCTTCCCCCCAGCATTATTCTGGACTCATCTTTATATCCATCCATCCTCAAATGCCAAGTCCTTCAGGGAATATCGGAAGGCCCCAAAAATGCAGTCACTCAACAGCGGTCTGCTAGAGTGAACATGTCTGCAAGAACTCAAGGGAAAGCAAAGAGACCTGACAGCTTCCTCCCTCCAGTCCTGTGCCCTCCCCCCTCGTCATTTCGTCTACAGGCCTCATCATGCCAAGAGAGAGATGGAGGGATTTTGAAAAGCGAGTTCAAACTATTATCTGGGAGTCTGCTGGAATGTCACTCCAACACACATGCACAGGACTGCATGTTTCCAGGACATAATCGGCCAGACGCCACCGGCATCATTTGGGCTGATCATCAGCAGTCCGACATCAGGGTAGGTTCCTTTTGTACAGGAACCCCCCTTCCTAGAAGAGCAGGGCTTGCAAAGAACCTCTCCCAGCTCCTTAAGCTCAACCGTGTTGTAGGCAAACCTCTCCCCACCAACACAGGTTGGGGACGTGGGGAGAAAAACAAGAGGGCTGCATGGAACCTGCAAGCCACGTCCTATGAACCCTACAATATGGTCCACACCTGGGGCTTTTCGGGGAACGTGTGTACTCAAAATTTGCTTCTAACGATGAGGCCTAGAAACTTACTTTTTCTTCCTTGGAGAAAGTTAGCATTTTCCTGGCAGCATACCAGATACCAGAATCCACACCATACCAGAAAGCCCACTAAGAAAGACCCTATCTATAGGTTTTGGGTGCATCACTACCCTGACCACTAACGCAGTGCTACACCTGTTCTACCTCCAAACGACCACCTAGTAGAGGGCTTCAGAATACCCAAGGAGATGTACACAGACATGTATTGCCCAGTTTGCCATTACAGGTCTCTCCGCCCCTTCTTGGAATAGACTAGTGGCACCTCGAAGCCCCATCTGACTGCTGAAGAGCAGCAAAGGATGTTCCATAGTGGCACCTTTCACCAAACAGAAGAAGAGACGGACCACCTTCATGGTTTACCCATCCACTCTCCAAAAATGGTCTTCCAGGGCCAGTTAACATTCATGACAGAGTCTTGAAAAAGACCACCTCCACCCACTAAGAGCCAACGGGCCTCTCGACGTTCAAAAGCCGCAAAGGGCCGTCTGTTCCTTACCTCCTTTCACTGCCGAAGAGCCGAACCACCTCTTCTCTTCCAGGGCTACGGGCCCGGGACCGTCGCTCTAGTCGCTTCTTCTCCACTTGGAAGGCGTCCCGGTTACTGATCCTAATGGCCTTGGGGACGTCGGCCAAAGTGGCGTACTGCCGGCTGGCTTTAAAGGCAAGGGGACGGCCTTGTCTCTCCACTCCCCTTGCCCCATCTCCGCCAGTGGAGTCCTTGTGCATGAAGGTGGGCCCACTTTTGGAGTCCAGAGAATTGAGAGAGAAGCTGTAAACCATTCGGCTGCCTGGCAGGGTACCTGAGGAAGGAAAGGGGCAGCTCTGCTCCCGGGAGGGTGATTTGGGGTCACTGTACCTGTTGTTGGGGGTGCTGGGGCTGGGAGGGGACGGTGGGGTCGGCAGCTGCTGCTCTTCGGGCTTTATGTCTTGCTTGGTCTTCTCCAAGGAGAAGTAGCCGCTCTCCACGCGCGTCTTCCGTCCACAGTCATTTCGGTCTCCATTCATGGCACTCTCGTCTGTTGGAGCAAGGAGAAAGAAGAGGCTGGCTAGAGGTGACAGAAGTGCCCTGAGGTGCTCTGCGGTGGCTTACGACAAACAAAAACAGGGATGTATGTAAGAATTCAAAGCTAAAAGGCAATAATAGCCGCAGGACTAAGAACCACAGCAGCTCCGAGAGACGGCAAAGCCATTAAAAGAAGGAACCTTTTATAGTAACCACATGGACTTCCACTCCCTGACTTTTTCCCATCACCACTACTCTTTCTCGTCATTTTGGTGTGTCATTTTGTGCAAGCATAACACACATGAAAACATCTTCATGTTCCAGCCTTGGAACGCTGAGATTTGGCAACCCTGTCAACTGTAAGTCTCCTCTTGGAATCAGGGACTTTGATGTAGGCAAAACTGGCTCTGAATCATAAAAATACTTGTAAAAATGTTGCATCTGTTGTGGTCTCATCTCATAAAATTTGTTGGTCTCCCCTCATCTTAACAGGTACTTTCCACATTATGTTGCTGACAGGAAGTTTCTCATAATATTTGTGTGAATTGATGACAGAGACAATCTGCTTGCACATGTTTGGACATGAACAATTTATTTTGGAGGCCTGAGACATTTTGCTGCTTCCTCCATGTGTGTGCGAGCGCATGCACACACACACACTTTCGTCAAGTCCTTTGTTCCCAAGAATAATTAATGCATCTGGAGAACAGGGGTACACTCCACAAAAGCTTATGCCAAATAGTATGTCCTTTCTCTTCCTTTCCACCACTGGATTATTAGTGTGTCCTCCTTCTGCTGAAGTGGAGAATTTGTTTTTTCAGTCACACATTCGTTATCACAGAGTTTGGGGGAGGTAAGTTTTCGCTGTGTTGCCATGGATGTTGCACCAGTTTTAGTAGCAAGCTTTGTTCTGTTGGTGCCTTGGCAGAAGGGGGTTTAATGCTGTTTTGCTGATATGATTTCCTGCTGCTATCTCATAATGCTGGCACTGTGTCCTCCTGCCACTCACAGCAGAACACTCCTTTCAAGTCAACCTGAGTTTGACATGGACACAGGCCAGTAACCTTGAAACCCTATTCGTCCAAGCCAGAAGTTGATCATGCAAGAAGTGGCATGGGTGGGGAGCAAGGCAAGGCAAGG